AAAAAAAAAAATAAAATTGCAGGAAAAACTCTTCCCTGAGCTGCTGCAGCCCTGCTGGGAGCTCTGGAAGTCACACAGCACTCCTGATTTTTATTTTTTTTTTTACAACTGAATTATTTTTTTCCATTCATCTCCACAAAGCTGTGGAAGTCACAGAGAACTCCTGGTTTTCCTTTATTTTTTTTTTTTTTACAACTGGATTTTTTTTCCATTCATCTCCACACAGCTCTGGAAGTCACAGAGCATTCCTGATTTTCCTTTTTTTTTTTTTTACAACTGGATTCTTTTTTTCCATTCATCTCCACAAAGCTCTGGAAGTCACAGAGAACTCCTGGTTTTCCTTTATTTTTTTTTTTTTACAACTGGATTTTTTTTCCATTCAAACCTCCACGCAGCTCTGGAATTGGCATTTCCTATTTTATCTAAAAAGCAGCTCAGAAAATGTGAATTTCTTCACTGGGGGATCATCTCTGGGTTCAGGTGACACCAGCAGGGTGTCATGGGGCACACGGGGATTTCCTGGGATCCCAGAGTGGTTTGGGATGCCAAGAAAAGAAAAAAAATTCTCCAATTCCAACAGTGCCTCACCTTCCCTCTCCATTTAATTAATTCCATTAATTCCCCTCTTTTTTTTTGGGGTTCTCTCTGCTGGCAGAGCTGGGTTCAGTCCAACCCAGCCCCTCAAAAAAAAAAAAAAATTCTTTTTTCTCTCATGGATTAATTTCTCTTCCCAATTAATCAATCCCTGCCTGCTGAAGTGACAGCAGCTTCTCCTCAATCTCCAGTTTTAATTGCCTGGAATCCTCAAATTTTAATATTTAAAGAGCCTCAAGGAGCACAATGAGCAGCCTGGGATGCAGCTACTGGATGGTTTTGGTTTGTTTTCTTCCAACCTGGCTGCAATTCTACATTTATGGAATAATCCCTGCAGCAACTTGCTTCAAAAAAAACCAAAAAAAACCCCAAAAAAACCTGCTGCTGGTTCCTTTGGAGTGGAATAATTTGGGTTAAAGGACTCTCAGGAAATGATCCATGAACTGCAATGCTCTCACCTGAGGAGTGACCAAAAACCACTCGTGGCAAACATCTCCAAAGCTTGAAAACATTTTAAAGCCCGTTCAAATGGTTGGATTTTTTGGGGTTTTTTTTTTTGGTTTTTTTTGGTTTTTTGCCCTTTGCTGGCTGTGGTTTCTGCTGGGTTTATCCAGCTCAGTGGTTTTTTATTGGAGGCTGATTAAGAAGCTGTGCAGGGAGGGCTGGATTCTGGTCACCCTCTTCCCAAAAATCTCCCTGGGATGTGGCAATGGAAGCTGGTTCTGGATCCTCCTGGAAGCCACTGGAATTCTCTCATGGGAGCATCCCAGCAGCCACATTGCCAAGGCACTGCTGGGCCTTCAAAACCACCATGAAAGGGTTAAAATTCCCTGCTGGGCCTTCAAAACCATGAATAAAGAGTTAAAATTACCTGTTCTGCCTTCAAATCCATAAAAAAAGGGTTAAAATTCCCTGCTGGGCCTTCAAATCCATAAATAAAGAGTTAAAATTCTCTGCTCTTCCTTCAAATCTATAAATAAAGAGTTAAAATTCTCTNTTTTTTGCCCTTTGCTGGCTGTGGTTTCTGCTGGGTTTATCCAGCTCAGTGGTTTTTTATTGGAGGCTGATTAAGAAGCTGTGCAGGGAGGGCTGGATTCTGGTCACCCTCTTCCCAAAAATCTCCCTGGGATGTGGCAATGGAAGCTGGTTCTGGATCCTCCTGGAAGCCACTGGAATTCTCTCATGGGAGCATCCCAGCAGCCACATTGCCAAGGCACTGCTGGGCCTTCAAAACCACCATGAAAGGGTTAAAATTCCCTGCTGGGCCTTCAAAACCATGAATAAAGAGTTAAAATTACCTGTTCTGCCTTCAAATCCATAAAAAAAGGGTTAAAATTCCCTGCTGGGCCTTCAAATCCATAAATAAAGAGTTAAAATTCTCTGCTCTTCCTTCAAATCTATAAATAAAGAGTTAAAATTCTCTGCTCTTCCTTCAAATCTATAAATAAAGAGTTAAAATTCTCTTCTCTGCCTTCAAATCTATAAATAAAGAGTTAAAATTCTCTGCTCTGCCTTCAAATCCATAAATAAAGAGTTAAAATTCTCTTCTCTGCCTTCAAATCCATAAATAAAGAGTTAAAATTCTCTTCTCTGCCTTCAAATCCATCACTAAAGAGTTAAAATTCTCTGCTTTTTTTTTCCTGTCAGCTCCTCCCCTCCACTTCTGGCAATTCCCACCCACTCCTTGGCCAGCTCAGCTTCCAAACTCAGCATTCTTTAACACCAAAAAAAAAAAAAAAAATAAAATAAAAAAGTCCCAAAATCCAGAGCGGAGCAGCCAAACTTTGCTCAGCAAATCCTGGGGGGTGACATCACGGCTGGGACTGAGCCTTTCAGACACAACAAAAAATCCTAAATCCTGCTGAAATCTTGGGGTTTTTTTGTTGTTTTTTTTTGTTTGTTTGTTTCTTTGTTTTTTTAATCTCGGCTCCAGCATTGTCTGCAGGCTGAAAGGACACAGAGCAGCAGTGACTCCACAGTGCCTTTGGCAGCCACCTCCAAAAAATCCAGCTCCATTCCCAAGGATAAAGGAGAGGTTTTTTGGGGTTTTTTTGGGGTTTTTTTGGCTTGGAGAATCCCTGGGGAGTGGTGGTGTAAGGCAGGATGGAACAGCACAGGGTGAGCTGGGCACAGAACTTCCCTTTGAGGGAGGGGGGAAAAACGGGGAGAATTAAATTGATTTTATTGATTAGGAAACTGGGATTAAATCCTGAGAGGGATTTGGATGCAGGGAATGGATTCCCAGTGCCAGAGGGCAGGGATGGATGGGATTTTGGGAATTGGGAATTCCCAGATTTGCTGTGGCTGCCCCTGGATCCCTGGAAATGTCCCAGACCAGGCTGGAATAACCTGGGACACTGGGAAATGTCCCTGCCCATGGCAGGGGTGGCACTGAACCAACCCAAACCATTCCCTGATTCCATAATCCAGGGGAAAATCCTGGATGCAGGATCCCAACACCTCTCCTGTGCCTCTTCCACCCCGAATTTTCACTTTCTTTTCCGGATACACAAAAAAAAACCCCAAAAAAAGGAGGCTGGGGGGGCTTTCCTGCAGCAGCCAGGAGGAACTGCTGGATTTGTGCCCTTCCCCTTCCACGTGATCCCACAAAGAACCCGACACATCTCCTGATCCCTGGAAAATCCATTCATCCCAGAAATAGGAAATTGGGGCTTTGCCAACAACCCTTGGCTCCCAAAACCACTCAGGGCATTTTTCTGCATTAGCACGTGTGTTATTGTCATTATTCTCATTATTCTCATTATTCTCATTAATTATTCCCATTATTCTCACTATCCTGGCTGAGCTGTTTCATTCCTGGGATTCACAGATGTTGGGGAAGCCCCCGTGCATCCCATTTGGGATCACAAAAGCCAAGGGTTGGGATCAGTGGGAAAGGAGTTGGGGGAGCAGAGACTCAAACACATCATGGACAGAATTCCCCATGTCCCACACACCCAGAGGGGCTGATCCCATCCCATCCCATCCCATCCCAGCCCATCCCATTGCCAGCAGCAGGACAATGTGTCACTCTGGGAGTGTCCCTATGGGATGAGGTGACAGCAGCTGCTCATCCCTGCACTCCTGAGGAGCAGAGGGATCCAATCCCCCAGGATTCATGTGCTGCCAAAGCTGGACCCAGCTGCTGCTCCCAGCCCATCCCAGTGATCCCA